CTGCTCTGATGTAGCCCCACTGTTCTGATGTAGCCCCACTGCTCTGAGGTATCCCCACTGCTCTGATGTAGCCCCACTGCTCTGAGGTAAAAACAAGCCAACTGAAACTCAATCCAGTAGTCCTAACCTAAAACTGATCTTTCTGGTTCCTCTCCTTTGGTTAAGTGAAAAACAGACAATTTATGGCAGTCGGGCTAGTTGAGCCTGTTCTGAACATAACAACCTAAATACATGATTCCTCCCCTATGTGTAGGTGAAAGGCTGACAGTATATGGCACTTCTGAGTGCAAATAGCTCATTTACATTTTCGGGCATGTGATCAAATCTTCGGGTAAGCAAAAAAATACTCCTGACATGCCCGATGGGCAAGTGCCTTTCAGACTTCAATGTATATCCCTGATGTGCATGTGTATGAAGCAGGTGACCTACGACCTGGGTCGTCTAAAGGTCTGGCTTCACCATGCAGTGCTCACATGAATCATAATAATAGTAATGTATAATAATTAAGCTTGAGCTTATATAGCGCTTTCATTACAAAATAGAATCTCAAAGTGCTCGAAAAGAAAAAAACGAACAAACAGGAAAAACAAATGATAAAACATTACCCTCTCCTGTACAGCTGTCTGAGGGGTTGTAATCCTAGTTGATCCTCTCCTGTACAGCTGTCTGAGGGGTTGTAATCCTAGTTGATCCTCTCCTGTACAGCTGTCTGAGGGGTTGTAATCCTAGTTGATCCTCTCCTGTACAGCTGTCTGAGGGGTTGTAATCCTAGTTGACCCTCTCCTGTACAGCTGTCTGAGGGGTTGTAATCCTAGTTGATCCTCTCCTGTACAGCTGTCTGAGGGGTTGTAATCCTAGTTGATCCTCTCCTGTACAGCTGTCTGAGGGGTTGTAATCCTAGTTGACCCTCTCCTGTACAGCTGTCTGAGGGGTTGTAATCCTAGTTGATCCTCTCCTGTACAGCTGTCTGAGGGGTTGTAATGCTAGTTTTAATGCTGATCTAAGATCATATTTTACAAAGTCAAGTTTATCTTTTGAGTCTCACAGCCATTTGCCACTGGAGAATTGAGACAAAGAGCTCACATGTTGTTACAGTGACCAGACGTTTTGTTCGCCAGACTATTATATTCTAAAATGTATTTGTGTATTTAGTCCTTTCATGGTAATGCTTTCTTTCAGCACTTTATCTATGTTAATATTGTCATTCCTTGATTCACACCACGTCAACGATAGAGCCTCCTAGAGGCTGTCTAAACACTTTGGGTGGTCTCCAGGTCTGGCTTCACCATGCAGTGCACACTTTCATAATAATTAGTAATGGGCACCAATATCGATATGAGCAAGGCATGTCGTAATATCGATTGATCCTCACTGTTAACCTACACTAATATGTAAAATAGCCTGGTCATGTTGCTCACATTGCACATTGGTTTTGTTATTTTTCAGTGAATGCAATCCTTGTCATAGCTCATCATCTCTGATATTACATCATGATCATAGCCCGATCAACAATGTTTTTTTTGTTTTTTTTTAACAGTGCTGTGTGAACTTAAATATTGAAATTTGCCTTTGCAACACAAATAGCTGAGTTGATTACTCAACAGAGTATAGTTTGCTGACACCCACAACTTCAGAATTCTCTGTTGGCTTAAAATACGTCTCATTAACATATTTCCCAGTGTGCTATCACTCAAACAACAACCAACCCTGGTCACTGATGATGTCCTACGTAGGGTCGTAATTCGTTGAAGTTAAATAAAAAACAAATAGATTTGTTTCCTTCCCCGTTTCGGCAGCTTGACGGAATCTCCATCAGACACGCTGTCTTCTAACCAGTGATGTTAAAATCTTTCCAGTTTCCGCATACAACCTGATTTCTCCCCCAATCGATATGAGTGATCAAAACTACAGCGTTTTAGGCTCATATGCAGTTCATAACGTGTTAGTTTAAAAAAATACAAGTCATCTGATTACTATTGTTGCACATTTTAGGTTTTCAATGATTATTGATTTGGACAGTTCAAAACTGTGTTTTGACATTGGGCTATTTATCCAAAGTTTTTAATAACAGGAAGCAGCGACAGCATAATTTTTGACATATTTTTTAAGAATATATATGGAAGTTTCAACATTAATTTCCAATTGTATTCTATTTAATCAGGGAAAAAAACGGCTGAATGAGTCCAGAAACATGCTGTGATATTTTTTTTTTGATGATATACCAGAAATCGTGAAAATGGGTTTGCCCTACCTACATTAGTGAGATTGTTGCACCTGTTTTTCTGGTCTGTGGTTACTCAGGAGGGATTTGAAAGAACCGATGGTCTGGTCTTGCCTGGAGAAATCCAGTCTGTATGTTCTAAAATTCCACTCCTTGCCACACCTTGCAGGTAGGTAGGGGAGGGGGTTGAACCGCAGGATGAAGGAGGAGGTAGGTTGGAGTGGGGGGGGGGGGGGGGAGGGGGGGGGGGGGGGGGGGGGGGGGGGGGGGTCGAAAAGCAGGTCCGGGTCCAGCCTCCCATCAACTCGTCGTTGAACAGGTGGAACAGGAAGCCATCATTGCTTTCAAAGCTGTGTGCAGGGCTATAAAAGCACAAAGTCCTGCAAGGGGACAATTGAAGTCTGGTGTACAACCAAACTTATACTGTAGATCTACAGAGACATCATGAGAGCCACTGCAGCCGTCCTACTGGTCCACTGTCTCCTTGCCATCAGTCATGGTAAGTTAACCATCATCTGAAGCATGCTTGCTCAACTTGGAATTGATCAAGTTTGCTCCATAATTTCATCCTCCTTTTCCTTGGTGTATTCTACTGGATTGTAAACTGTCATGGTCAAAACATATTGATACAACAGTAGCTAAGATGGGGAGAAGTATGTCCATAATAAAGGGCTGCTCTACCTTCTTAACAGCACTATCAACAAGGCAGGTCCTACAGGCCCTAGTTTTGTCACACCTGGACTACTGTTCAGTCATGTGGTCAGGTGCCACAAAAAAGGATTTAGGAAAATTGCAATTGGCTCAGAACAGGGCAGCACGGCTGGCCCTTGGATGTACACAGAGAGCTATTATTAATAATATGCATGTCGATCTCTCCTGGCTCAAAGTGGAGGAGAGATTGACTTCATCACTACTTGTGTTTATGAGAGGTGTGTTGACATGTTGGGTGCACCGAGCTGTCTGTTTGAACTACTGGCGCACAGCTCGGTCACCCATGCATACACCACAAGACATGCGACCAGAGGTCATGTCACAGTCCCCAAGTCCAGAACAGACTATGGGAGGCGCACAGTACTACATAGAGCCATGACTACATGGAACTCTATTCCACATCAAGTAACTGATGCAAGTAGTAAAATTAGATTTAAAAAACAGATAAGAAAACACCTTATGGACTGTGAAGCAACACAAACATAGGCGCAGACACATGCATGCACACACACGATAATATACGCACTATTTACACGTACACATGGATATTTGTACTGTAGATACAGTGAGGGAATTAAGTATTTGATCCCCTGCTGATTTTGTACATTTGCCCACTGACAAAGACATGATCAGTCTATAATTTTAATGGTAGGTTTATTTGAACAGTGAGAGACGGAATAATAACAAAAATATCCAGAAAAACGCATGTCAAAAATGTTATAAATTGATTTGCATTTTAATGAGCGAAATAAGTATTTGACCCCCCTGCAAAACTTGACTTAGTACTTGGTGGCAAAACCCTTGTTGGCAATCACAGAGGTCAGACGTTTCTTGTAGTTGGCCACCAGGTTTACACACATCTCAGAGGGATTTTGTCCCACTCCTCTTTGCAGATTTTCTCCATGTCATTAAGGTTTCGAGGCTGACGTTTGGCAACTCGAACCTTCAGCTCCCTCCACAGATTTTCTATGGGATTAAGGTCTGGAGACTGGCTAGGCCACTCCAGGACCTTAATGTGCTTCTTCTTGAGCCACTCCTTTGTTGCCTTGGCCATGTGTTTTGGGTCATTGTCATGCTGGAATACCCATCCACAACCCATTTTCAATGCCCTGGCTGAGGGAAGGAGGTTCTCACCCAAAATTTGATGGTACATGGTCCCATCCATAGTCCCTTTGATGCGGTGAAGTTGTCCTGTATCCTTAGCAGAAAAACACCCCCAAAGCATAATGTTTCCACCTCCATGTTTGACGGTGGGGATGATGTTCTTGGGGTCATAGGCAGCATTCCTCCTCCTCCAAACACGGTGAGTTGAGTTGTTGCCAAAGAGCTCGATTTTGGTCTCATCTGACCACAACACTTTCACCCAGTTCTCCTCTGAATCATTCAGATGTTCATTGGCAAACTTCAGACGGGCCTGTATATGTGCTTTCTTGAGCAGGGGGACCTTGCGGGTGCTGCAGGATTTCAGTCCTTCACGGCGTAGTGTGTTACCAATTGTTTTCTTGGTGACTATGGTCCCAGCTGCCTTGAGATCATTGACAAGATCCTCCCATGTAGTTCTGGGCTGATTCCTCACCATTCTCTTGATCATTGCAACTCCACGAGGTGAGATCTTGCATGGAGCCCCAGGCCGAGGGAGATTGACAGGTCTTTTGTGTTTATTCCATTTGCGAATAATCGCACCAACTGTTGTCACCTTCTCACCAAGCTGCTTGGCGATGGTCTTGTAGCCCAAACGTTCAAAATCAGCAGGGGATCAAATACTTAATTCCCTCACTGTATGTGGTAGTGGTGGAGTAGGGGCCTGAGGACACACTGTGTTGTGAAATCTGTGAATGTATTGTAATGTTTTTAAAATTGTATGATCTGCCTTAATTTTGTTGGACCCCAGGAAGAGTAGCTGCTGCCTTGGCAGGAACTAATGGGGATCCATAATAAAGCCCAGGAAGAGTAACTGCTGCCTTGGCATAAACTAATGGGGACCCATAATAAATACAAATACAAATATTAATATGTCTTTGTCTCCATAGCATGGGACTGTCAGGAGGTAGTAAACATCAAGAATCTGATGCAGATCGATGCAGGACTGGGACAAGTGGTTGCAACGGACACAAGTCAAATCCCCTTCTACCTGGTAGGTGATAAATGGATCCGCCTGCCTGGTTCCCTGAAGCATATCACTATAGGACCAGCAGGGATCTGGGGTGTCAACAAGGGAGACTCAATCTACAAGTATGTGGCCGGTAACTGGGTGCAAGCTGCAGGTAAGTAGAGAGCATTGCTCAATATTTATCCAGAGGACACCTACTTTCAGTGGTGGAAAAAGTACTAAATTGTCATACTTGAGTAAAATTAAAGATACTTTAATAGAAAATGACTGAAGTAAAACTGAAAGTCACCCAGTAAAATACTACTTGATCAAAAGTCTAAAAGTATTTGGTTTTAAATATACTTAAGTATCAAAAGTAAATGGAATTGCTAAAATGTACTTCAGTATCAAATGTAAAAGTAAAAGTATAAACCATTTCAATGTCCTTATATTAAGCCCAGACGGCACAATTTTCATGTTTGCTTTTTTGAGCCAGGGGCACACTCCAACACTCAGACATAATTTACAAAGGAAGCATTTGTGTTTAGTGAGTCCGCCAGATCAGAGGCAGTAGGGATGACCAGGGATGTTCTCTTGATAAGTGTGTGAATTGGACCATTTTCCTGACAAAATGTAACAAGTACTTTTGGGTGTCAGGGAAAATGTATGGAATAAAAAGTACATTATTTTCTTTAGGAAGTAAAAGTAAAAGTTTTCCAAAATATAAATAGTAAAGTATAGTACAGATACCCCAAAAAACTACTTAAGTACTTTACACCACTGCCTACTTCTTGTCTTTCCTGATACCATCACGGTGTTGAAACATGATTCATTGTTTTCTTGTCCGTCCGTCTGTCTGTCTTTGTGGTCTTCAGGCCTACTGAAGCAGGTGGATGCTGGGGGTAACCAGTTTATTGTGGGGGCCAACATGAACGATACTCCGTACTGTCTGACAAGTAGTGCCACAGTTGGCTACAAGGGTCCAGGTTCATCCCTTCCATGGACAGGATTGCCAGGAGCTGTGAAGTACTACAGTTGTGGACCCTTTGGGTGCTGGGCAGTCAACAAGAATGATGATATCTACATAATGAGTGTAAGATCTGGGAAAAAAGTGTGAGATCTGGAGTAGAGTAGTAGAGTATGGGGAGTTATTGTAAAACTGTTTAATATTATAACTGTAGAAATGGTCCTAAAACCCTGATTGTATCTGTTTGTTTCCAGTTGAATCAAGACTGCCAAAACAAGGGGTGGAGTCACATTGACGGCAAGCTTTCCATGATTGAGGTGGCAACTGATGGTAGTGTCTTTGGGGTCAACTCTGTGGGTGATGTTTATACCAGGTAAGGTTGATACTTAACTATATGTATAGTGTCCCTCTTTTCCCCCTCAACATTATTAACTTAAAAATGACTTGTAATAATAATCAAATCTAAACTTATATAATAGACTTATGAAGGAATGTGAAAACAGTGTACAGTAAAATATGTAGAAGTTCGATCTCCTTTAAAGCTACAGTTTGGGATTTTAAATGGCCACCCTGCCACTTGTTTTAGTAAACAGATGAGGGATGGGACAGGAGAAATGTAGCCACTCTTTAATTCATAGATGGATCAATAGATGTAAGGACAGACAGATGAGAACAAAATGATTTTTCATTTAAACATGTTTTGTAAAGCTATACATTGTTTGTTTACAATAGCATTGTTTACAACCAATTGAGTAAAATCTTACATATTTTCTTCTGATGCAGTTGTATTAAGCTCATGAGTCATTTATAAGTTATATTCTTCAACAATCAATGGCTATATACAATTAATATAGTTTTTTTATTTTTATGGATGAGCTTTAAACATGTGAACCCCACCTCTTTCTTCAACACAGAGACGGCATCACAGCCATTAAACCAGAGGGCACTGGATGGAGCAATGTCCCAATGTCCTTGCGGATGAAGCACGTGACCTACGACCTGGGACATCTTTGGGTCGTCTCCAAGTCTGCCGTCACCACGGTGTGCACACGTTAGCCTCTCCTCTGCATCTGAAGGCCGATCGGGATCTGACTTATCTTCCCTTGCTAATTCATTGATGTCTTTTTCTGGAACAGCCTCCTGCTTGACAATTGTGGACAGTAGTTCATAACAATCCTTCATTCTAAAACGTATTGCTTTACACTATACTTTATCTAATAGTTCACTGACTGTGTCGAAAAGTTTTCAAACACAATTGACAAGCAACAGCATTTTAAAAATGTCTTAATCACTCCTTGATCAACACTTCAATAGAGCTTTGCCATGGATGTTATTTGATCGTAGTGTAAACTTGGGCATGTTCATGTTGCTCACAATCCACATGGGTTTTGCTGTGGTTCAGAGGTCATCAATAAGGGTGGATGGAATCCTTGTCATTGCTTATTATCTCATTATATAATCATTTATATCTTATATAATTATTTAATCATTTCCCGCTAAAATAAAGCGTTCAGTTTGAAATCCATTTCTGTGTTTTTATTGTATTTTTTATCATAGCGAACAAGGGGATTTCAGCTTGCTCTGCAAAGACCCAGCGAAACTTGATATATCTGTTTTGTGATTATGGTTTTTGCCCTGGCACTACACAGCTGATTCAAATATCCAACCTTGATGATGAGTTGATTATTTGAATCAGCTGTGTAGTGATAGGGGGAAAAACTAAACGTACATCCCTTGGGGTCCCGAGGACTCCGTTTTGCCATAGGAAGTCCCACTGTTAGGAATAGAGGTAGGGAAGTGGCTGGGCCACAGTTAAACAGTCCATTTCCACTATTCATATCACACCCCTAGGGAGCAGCAGTAACCAGGCCAGGTGCCTTGAGTGCCGACAGGGTTAAAAAAGGCTCACAGGTGTGAGTGGAAAGTCTAAGGAGTCTAAGGAAGGAAGCTGGAGGAGGATATTGCGACTGCTTTAATCAGAAAGTGGGGCAAGTGAAGTGTGTGATAATGAACGGAAAATAGTGAAATCAAACAACGGAACAAAATGAGTATAAATTGTAGTAGAAGACAAGGACCTGTCCAATAATGCATTTCTTATTGGACTGCGGTTTTTGGACAAGGAGGTTCATTTGGGAAATCCATTTGTAATATCGAGGACTGTGAGGAAAGCAGTGGGAAAGGTGGATTCAATCAATGTGACTAGAAGCGTCCTTGTTTTGGTTAATTGTGTTGATGAAGAACAGAAGAAGCGTGCACTGGATCTGGCAAAATTGTCCACGTCAGAAGTAACATGTACTGATCTTTGGAGCAGGGCACCTGCCAAAGGAGTTATAGCTGGAGTCTCGTTGGATATAGATGATGAGGACCTTAGTCAGTAAATCCCAGGAGTGTTCAGTGCATGTCACCTGACCCGTATGGTAAAAGGAAGGAAGGAGAAAAGCCTATCGATATTATTGTTGTTTGAGGATACTCTACCTGAATATGTGAGGCTTGGATATGTGAAGTATGAGGTGAGAGCATTTGTGTCCAAACCATTACAGTGTGGAAATTGGAGAGGATATGGTCACGTGTCAAATGTTTGCAGACGGGACAAGTATGATATTGAAGAAACTGTGAATGGAAAATGTGGTGGGGATCATAAATCATCTTCCTTAAATGCCCTATTAGGGTGAAGGAGGTCGAGGTGTCAAGGATCAGGGCTGCACAGCGGATCTCCTATGTGGAGACGGTGAAGAGAGTCGAAGGGGCAAGAGGCAACAGTGTTGAAGATATGGAGGTGGATGCATTGCAACTAGTTGCTAGTGTTTTAAGTCAATCGAGTGATCTGGATACACTCATTGTCAAGGTGGATTTTGTGGCATTTATAGCCACAGTGATTAATTGTACAGCACAAGTGTCTAAGAAGTCCAAGAAGCTGGATATCATTATATCTTTAGCCGGTACGTTTTTGGGGCTCCAAGACTTCACGACAGAAGCACTAAAAGGACTATTGTCACTAGGAAATGTCCCACCCTCATAGGAGGCTTTTGAGCCTGTGTTGTGACCTGATTAGAATTTGTTTTTTTATAGAAAAGCAGGTTGATTTTGTTTAGTTAATTTCTGTTTTGATAGTTTCTATGATATTTTATTTATTTTTACCCACATTTTTTTCTTTTTGGATCCTTATCCACCAGCACAGTAGGTGGCGGAATGCACATCTAAATCAATGCCAATGCCATTATACCATAGAAGAAGAAGAAGTGATTGATGGGTGATTGACAATTTGAGATGATGATTGAGAATAGCTTCTTAACTCAGCAGGGGTTTCCCACATGCTTTTCAATCCTTTTTGATTAGCATACTTATTGTTTTCAAATTGTATATTATTTGTCACCATGAACATCATTAACCTGGTTGGGCTGGCAGACAACAGAACGCTGACCAAGCTCACCTTTGACCCCGGTAAGTACGCTGGCTCCCCTTCAGACATATACATAAATCACCTGGTTTGTTTAACTCAACATTTCACATAACATTTAAACAGACTGGTTAATTTGTCCCAGTTGCTGATCAGAGCCTGAAGGTACGGAGGTGCCGTTCCCCTCACAGCTCCGTAGGCAAGCACCATGGTCTTGTAGCAGATGCGAGCTTCAACTGGAAGCCAGTGTAGTGTGCGGAGGAGCGGGGTGACGTGAGAGAACTTGGGAAGGTTGAACACCAGACGGGCTGCGGCATTCTGGATGAGTTGTAGGGGTTTAATGGCACAGGCAGGGAGCCCAGCCAACAGCGAGTTGCAGTAATCCAGACGGGAGATGACAAGTGCCTGGATTAGGACCTGTGCCGCTTCCTGTGTAAGGCAGGGTCGTACTCTCTGAATGTTGTAGAGCATGAACCTACAGGATCGGGTCACCGCCTTGATGTTAGCGGAGAACGACAGGGTGTTGTCCAGGGTCACGCCAAGGCTCTTCACACTCTGGGAGGAGGACACAACGGAGTTGTCAACCGTGATGGCGAGATCATGGAACGGGCAGTCCTTCCCCGGGAGGAAGAGCAGCTCCGTCTTGCCAAGGTTCAGCTTGAGGTGGTGATCCGTCATCCATACTGATATGTCTGCCAGACATGCAGAGATGCGATTCGCCACCTGGTTATCAGAAGGGGGAAAGGAGAAGATTAGTTGTGTGTCGTCTGCGTAGCAATGATAGGAGAGGCCATGTGAGGATATGACAGAGCCAAGTGACTTGGTGTATAGCGAGAATAGGAGAGGGCCTAGAACTGAGCCCTGGGGGACACCAGTGGTGAGAGCACGTGGTGCGGAGACAGCTTCTCGCCAAGCCACTTGGTAGGAGCGACCGGTCAGGTAGGACGCAATCCAAGAGTGAGCCGCGCCGGAGATGCCCAGCTCGGAGAGGGTGGAGAGGAGGATCTGATGGTTCACAGTATCAAAGGCAGCAGACAGGTCTAGAAGGACAAGAGCAGAGGAGAGAGAGTTAGCTTTAGCAGTGCGGAGAGCCTCCGTGACACAGAGAAGAGCAGTCTCAGTTGAATGACCAGTCTTGAAACCTGACTGGTTTGGATCAAGAAGGTCATTCTGAGAGAGATAGCAAGAGAGTTGGCTAAAGACGGCACGCTCAATAGTTTTGGAGAGAAAAGAAAGAAGGGATACTGGTCTGTAGTTGTTGACATCAGAGGGATCGAGTGTTGGTTTTTTGAGAAGGGGTGCAACTCTCGCTCTCTTGAAGACAGAAGAAACATAGCCAGCGGTCAAGGATGAGTTGATCAGCGAGGTGAGGTAAGGGAGAAGGTCACCGGAGATGGTCTGGAGAAGAGAGGAGGGGATAGGGTCAAGCGGGCAGGTTGTTGGGCGGCCGGCCGTCACAAGTCGCAAGATTTTATCTGGAGAGAGAGGGGAGAAAGAAGTCAAAGCATAGGGTAGTGTGAGCAGGACCAGCAGTGTCATTTGACTTAACAAACGAGGATCGGATGTCGTCAACCTTCTTTTCAAAATGGTTGACGAAGTCATCCACAGAGAGGGAGGGGGGGGGGGGGGGGGGGGGGGAGGGGGAGGAGGATTCAGCAGGGAGGAGAAGGTGGCAAAGAGCTTCCTAGGGTTAGAGGCAGATGCTTGGAATTTAGAGTGGTAGAAAGTGGCCTTAGCAGCAGAAACAGATGAAGAAAATGTAGAGAGGAGGGAGTGAAAAGATGCCAGGTCTGCAGGGAATCTAGTTTTCCTCCATTTCCGCTCGGCTGCCCGGAGCCCTGTTCTGTGAGCTCGCAATGAGTCATCAAGCCACGGAGCTGGAGGGGAGGACCGAGCCGGCCGGGAGGATAGGGGACATAGAGAGTCAAAGGATGCAGAAAGGGAGGAGAGGAGGGTTGAGGAGGCAGAATCAGGAGATTGGAGGGAGAAGGATTGAGCAGAGGGAAGAGATGATAGGATGGAAGAGGAGAGAGTAGCGGGAGAGAGAGAGCGAAGGTTGCGACGGCGCATTACCATCTGAGTAGGGGCAGAGTAAGTAGTGTTGGAGGAGAGCGAGAGAGAAAAGGATACAAAGTAGTGGTCGGAGACATGGAGGGGAGTTGCAGTGAGATTAGTAGAAGAACAGCAAGCCATTATCAGTCTTCTGTAGTAATGGGCACACACCATCTAGGACCCTCAAACTCACCTCTGGACCTCGTAGGGTCAGAGTTTAATACCCCTGATCTAGGATTTATAACTGTGATATATCCATTTGGCATGACAGGTTGACGTTTATTGGGATGAATCTTGTCCCGGAGGCAGAGCGGTTTCCGCTGGATGGGCCAGCTGCAAAGTCAAAATTGGCTACTATTGTAAAAATTCATAAAAAAATTAATATGCTTTTTGGTCTTAAGGTTAGGGTTAGGCATAAGGTTAGTGTGGTTAAGGTTAGGATTAGGTTTAGATGTTATGACTTTGTGGCTGTGCCAGCTAGATACCACCCTGCAGAGCTGCCTCCAGTACATGAGTCATCCCAATAAATGCCAACCTGTGTTGACGAGACAGTGATTCCACTAAATCAGGGGTGTCAAACTCATTCCATGGATGGGCCAGTGTCTGC